TACACATCTAGATGTGTATAAGAGACAGCCCCCCCCCTCTCTCTTTAAAAATTGGAATTTGATATTTGGAATTTTGAATATGCCGTTGTCGATTCTGTCTGGACTTTGTTTTATTGCAGGAGGGATGGTATGATAATAGACCTCACTCTTTCCAGGTGAGTAAATTTTCGGATGTGCAGTGCTGTTGGATTTGTTTCTGGATTTGTTTCTCCCTCTTCTCGAGACTTGGAGTGGACCTCTGAGTGGGGGAAACGAATTAGGAGTATGGACAACCCATTTTGAATTTTAGAATTTTAACTTTTTAGTATTATTTAAATTTATTTTAGAAATCTCTGAAATTTGAATTTGAATTTGAATTTGATGGCTCCTCGGGCTGGTTGTGGGTTTGCTGGCTCTTGGGGCTTGCTGTGGGTTAAATTTGGTGGGTTCAATTTTAGGAATCTCTGTGGGTTAAATGTGGTGGCTCTTCGGAATGGGAATGGGTGGTTGCTCTCCGGGATGCCTACGGACGGTTGCTGTTCGGGCTGGCTATAGGTAATAGGTGTGAATTTTGCTGGCTCTTGGGGCTGGTTATGGGTGAATTTTGCTGGCTCCTTGGGCTGGCTATGGGTAGCCCTGAGAAGAGATTACACATGATGGAAAATAGGTCACGAAGATGATTCAATCTTTACTGTCATGGCGTACGCGTCCTCTTCCCCTCCATGACTCCTGCAACGATTTTTTTCCCGCAAGCACCCAACCCCTTCCAGGTAATGACTTCAGCCGTACCTTTCTATCTTCGATATAGAAAATTGCCGTCGTGTTTGATTTGTAAAACCAGTGATCACGCGGCAGTTCGGAAGTCCAATGTCCTCGGCCTCACAGACAATTAACTATTACCCGTAGCAACAAAGTGAATGGAACCGGTGTGAAGTTTCCATTTCCATTTATCATTCCTGGGTCGAGGTCCGACAAGCACAGGTGATTGGATTGAATGCCTGAATCTGGACGTTGTGTGTGAAAAGGTGCACAAGATCGAGGTGGAGCTGCTTTTATGCATCGCTGCTTAAGACCCATCCAGATTCAGGCGCTCAGTCCAATCCTGTCTTTGCTAGTGGGACCTTGCTCCGGTTCAGTCTTAACAGCAATGTTCAGCGTTATTTCTTGTCTGTGTTTTTTTTTTTCCGATTATTTGGAATTGTATGTGGTAACTGTGTTTTTTTTTTTTTTTTCCCATTTAATTTCGGATTTAATTTAGGCCTTGAACTCTGTAGTCTCGTTTCAAGTCATTTGTTTTATATTTCCATCTTTTTCCCCAAGAAATGTCATTTTTCTGATTTTTCATTAATAAAAAAGACTGGAGACCAGGTCCAGTCACTCTCCAGTGTCGCCTTTTCTTTTCATGTTACATACATTCTACACACCACGACACAGTTTTTTTTCCCCCAAGAATCTTGGTTTTTTTTTGTCAGTAAATCTGACGACTGACCTGTGAATATCTTTCCCCCCTTTATTTATTTCCCACCCCTGAATGCAGATCTACTCTCCAGCGCGGACAGCTGTGGTATATGCCCCTGCAGAGGTTGCTGATACTCTCGGGGAATACTGTGACGAGCATGAAAGCGATTATGATCCCGAGTGCCGCGTGTTCGAGGATTGACTCCATCGCCATTCTCTGCCGGAGCAAACAGTCAACCTTTGACCCATGCGAGGGTTCAAAATACCTGGTCGACACACAGAGGAGAAAGAGTAGAGGAGGCGGGGGGGGGGGGGGGGGGGGGGGGATTGAAGTGGAGGAAAGAGAAGGTTGGCTTTTGGAATCGCGGCACGGAACTGTGGATTTTCAGCAGAGCACCGAATGAATGGGATGAGAGGGAGGGTCAGTAGACAGAATAATACGTGTATTCTTGTAGATTGGTCCAGGAGCAGTGAATAGTCTTGTAGATTGGTCCAGGTGCAGTGAATCGTTCGTTCGTTTCATTTTCTTTCTTGTGCTTTAGCTTTGACAAGTAGGTGATTAATGAATTTGACTGATTGGTCAAGCAGTCGATCAGTTGAGGAATTGATCCGCTGATCAATCGGTTGCTTCAATCAATCAATCAATCAATCAATCAATCAATCAGTCGATCAGTCATTCGATCAACGAATTATCCAATTGATGGAACGGGTAGTTTAATCAATTGGTTCCTCAAAATTAATCAGTTGATTGATTGATTAATCTGATTTTACTTGATTGGTTGGCTGACTGGTTGATTGGCTGGTTGATTGGCTGGTTGATTGGCTGGTTGATTGGCTGGTTGATTGGCTGGTTGATTGGCTGGTTGATTGGCTGGGCTGGATGATTATCTGGTTGATTGGCTGGTTGATTGGCTGGTTGATTGGATGGTTATTAGTTGTTTGATTGGCTGGTTGATGAGATGGTTGATGAGATGGTTGATTGGCTGGTTGAATGGTGTCCGTGTTTGCAGTTTTTGCTCTTTGAGGGCTTCTGTGAAAGGACCACCCCAAAAAACTCATGGAGCTGCTCCTGAATGAACGAGTTAATACCGTGAGGGCAATCAACTTGCTTCGAGTAATTTACTCATTTGAGTCGTTTCCCTTTTCACATGTTAGATTGGATCTGTTTTGGCAATTGCCAGGAGGGTTGTTTCCAGTCCCAAGTATGGAGAAATCTGAAATCTTGAGAGCAGATTTGCAGCCTTGCTTTTCGAGACGTCTTCTCAGCAATGCGCATCTTCGACCCGTTTCAAGCCCTTTGCGGTCATTTTGGGCCCTCTTTCCAGCCCTTCTTTCCATTTCCAGCCAACCTTGGTTCCGGGCGAGCGTTTGGTAATCTGGTGGTTCTTCTACACAATGGAAGGGACACTGACAAGGGGTCTTATTCAGCCTCCAAGAGGGGAGGCGGGGGGGGGGGACACTTTTCAGCACTCTTTCCATCCCCTTTCTGCCCAAGCCGGGTGCCCTGTCGAAGGTCTGGTAATCTTCAGTGGTCTTTCAATACGGTGGCAGTGAAGCTGGGGAGGGGGGTTATAAGACTCCAAGAGGAGGGGGGGGGTTGGGGGGTAATCCCACCCCTCCAACAGGGGCCCCTTTTATGGGCAATTGCTGCGATGGCCCCACAGAATACATATCTGCGCAGAGTCTACGAGGAGCACCGCAGCTACGGGTTTGGTACTACAGGGATGTGCAGAGATGGAAGCATGTAGGGTTTTGGTACAGTGGGCTGGGGGGAATAATTGGTGCGGGTGGGGGGGGGACCGAGGGAGGGGAGAAAGGACAGTAGCATGCGGAGGGGGATTCTGCCGAGGGAGCGATGCTGTTCCAGTGGATAGTTGAGAGTTAGTAAATTTAATGTTAATTACCTTATCCAGTGTGTAAGGACCTTATCCACAGAATGAGCATTGTAGTCCATTGTGAGCAGTTATAATTCAGTGGATGATTAGTAATTACCTTATCCAGATCCAGTGGATAATTACCTTATCCACTAATATCCAGTGGATTCCAGTGGATAATTACCTTATCCACTGGATGATGGATTGTAGTAGTCATTGTAAGCACTGATAATCCAGTGGATAATTACCTTATCCACTGAATGAGCATTGTAGTTGTCGTTGGTGAAGCGATGAGACGCAGGAACGAGTCATTTCCCGCAGTATTTATGCTGGCAGAGATATTTATGCTGGCAGAGATGTTGATCGGAGGGGGGAGATTACAATGAGATAGTAGGTTGCATTAGATGGGTGGGGGGAGGGGGGGTCTATGGCGAACAGGGGTGGCATTATGTTATTTATGTTCCGAATCTTCTGATGACAGGGGGGTGGTTTTTATTCCCCACCGCTTTGATGTGGCAGTCGGGATGGAAAAGCCATTGGATTAATTATGGACCTTCATGATGCAAAGGATTAAATGCTTGTGGATGGTGGATTACTGGTGACGGTAGCCTGGTGAAGGCTATTAGGAAAGATAGAACATGATAGGAAGGACTGGAAAAAAAAAAGTCTATTGAAGAGGATAGCAATGGCAATGGCTATCCAAGAGAGGAAAGCATGCGGGCTAGTACAGAGTAGTGACTGGCTATCAAACAGAGAATAGCAATGGCTGTTGTAGAGAGAATAGCAATAGCATGGGCTAGTAAGAGTACTGGCTATTGAACAGAGAATAGCAATTGCTGTTGAAGAGAGGATAGCAATAGCATGGGCTAATATGCGACAATCACAGTGTTGGCTATGTTGATGGTTAGCAATGGCTATTCAACACAGAGTATAGCATGGGCTATGCAGCAATCACAGCATTGGGGCTATGTTCATTTTTGAAGGACAGGACCAATTCTCAGGGAATAGACAGGATGGTATTAGAACGCATCCATTACTCATTGTTGAGCTTTTGCTATGTTTCTTCTCTTTTGGGACTGAAGCTTTGTAGCTAAGGAGGCAATTTTAAGTGCATGCTTGCTTCTGTATATCGTCAAGAGGAGTATGGAAGACGCAATGCACTTGAGGAACGACTGCCCATGTGTTAGAAAGGCGCTGAGGCACGGGGGGCGGAATTGGCAGGGAATCGAGGCGTGCGTGAGCAGCTGCAGGCATTGATTAGCTACTGAAGAATCAACCACAACCATGTGTTCCAACACACACACACACACACACACACACACACACAGAGAGAGAGAGAGAGAGAGAGAGAGAGAGAGAGAGAGAGAGAGAGAGAGAGAAGGTGATCGGGGGGGGAGAGATGAAGTGTATATACGAGATGGTCACGATTGATCCTTATCCTCTGCTTGTGTAGAGGAGGGGAGCTTTGGACTGAACCTGGACATCTGGGGTTGTCAGATGCTGACTCCTTCATCGAAATTGTCATTCCTATTTAGACTCACAGGAATGGGTTGTTGATTAAGTTCCTTGTGACCTTACAATTGCCTATATGGAAGGCAATTTTGCTTCTTTTCTCATGTACGTCTTGTGTGTGTTGTGTGTGTGTGTGTGTTTGGTGGGGGGTGGGGGTTCGAAGGGGGGGGGTGTGTGGAGTGGGACGGGGAGAAGACGGGGAGTGTTCAGAAGCTTTTGAAAAAAACATGATGACTTTCTTCATTGCTCTCTTTTTCCTGATGTGTTATTTCTCCTGTTGTGTCCTTGACTCTTTTTCTCTGTTGTTCTCTCTCTTTTTGTGTGTGTGTGTGTGTGTGTGTGTAGCGATGTGTGTGTGCACTTTTGAGGACCGTTTCAATGTGAATTTCCCAGTGGGTTACGAGAATGCCTGTGGCTGAATGGTATATGTGTGGTACGAAGTCAAACTGTCCCTGGTCATGTTCATGCTCTAATGCTGATGCGCTGGTGCGATGCTCATGCAAAGGCAAACGAAATTGTCTATGGTCATCTTCATGCTCTAAGGCTCATGCTCTCAACACAAACATGACACCAGTGGGGCTTGCCCATAAAACACCCTTTCCCAAGCTCCAGCAGGACGTTCACTACCTGAAGCTAACTGCCCTGTGATGGATCAAGCGGTCAGGTTCAGTTGCATGCTTGGGAGAGGCTTGGGAGACACATCACCTCCTCCTGTGGTAGTTCTAGTGAGACATCTCTTAAGCACTGGAACCATCACAGGATCTTCTAGAGGAACAGGAACTATCGCAGGAAGAGGTCTTGTCTCTTCCTGTGGTAGTTCTAGTGACATCTCTGAAGCAGTCAACAAGGCCGTCAAGGCCTAACCTATGGTATGGTGTGGGGGGCCTCAACGACAGCAGGGGGTTGGGTTTTTTTTTTTTTTTTTTAGCAGGAGGTAGGGGAGGGGGGGAACCTCTACACCATGGAACCGGCGCCAGATCCAACTGTGACTCACTAGTTCCTCCCTCCCCCCACCCAGTCTGAACTGTCACTTCCAAAGTCATCGCCTTGCTCACATCCCACCCGCTGGAAACCGGGTCCAGCGTCCCATTTATACTTTATGTCGCACTTTAGTTGGTGGCTGTGGGTTTCCTGAGGCTGTGCATCTCGTTCCTCTCGGGGCCCCATTGTCCCATGGAACTGCTAATGTCACCCATCCCCTGTCAGACAGCAGGGGGTTGTACCTTCCACTCTACATCAACCCCCAGCATGGCCAGCTTTTCCATTTGTCTTCTTTTCTTGTTTTGAGGTTTTTGTTTTTTTCCCCTCAGGTAACTTGATGTGTTTATCCCCGAGCAATAACTTGGTCACTTTCATGATGATTATTGAATGTGTTTCCTTTAAACATGTGCGGTGGATATGAGTTGTTTAACCCTAGTTGTTTAACCCTAGCTCAGTGAGGACAGCTAACTGTTTGTTTAACCCTAGCTCAGTGGGTACACCTAGTTGTTTAACCCTAGCTCAGTGGGTACACCTAGTTGTTTAACCCTAGCTCAGTGGGTACACCTATGGACTGTTTGTTTAACCCTAGTTGTTTAACCCTAGCTCAGTGGGTACACATGTGAACTGTTGAAATGCAGACCCAAGTTCGAATCCAGAGGATCAAGATTCCTGAATGACCTGGGGCTGGTCAGTTTCATGATAATAGGAAAGGCTGTCGCCCATAGGAAAAAAAGAAAAAGGAAGGGAAAAAAAGAAAGTGAGGTGGGTATTGTAGAAGAAAGAGAGACCAGTCGATGAGAAACGAGTGTAATGATTTGCAGTAGTCAATTTACCAGGTGAGTATGAAGGGTGGGCCTTGGGGGGGGAGAGGGGGAGGGGCACACGAGGAGAGAAGGGGGAGGGGTGGAGGCAGCGGCAGCACGACTGTCAGTGCGCAAGTTCAGCTAGGGAGGCACCGCAATCGTATGACACTTGGTCATGGGCATGGACTCCTCAGTGGATGCTGTACCTTAGCAGAATTGGACACGACCATCACCTAGAGCAACATCTATGAAAAGATGTGCGACGGGCACAAGTATATAGAAGAACGTTCTCAAAACTATCTCCATCGAAGGCACATGTGTGTGTGTGCGGGAAATGCTCCAGGAGCTGTGGCTATCCGAGTAGCTTTGGAAGCTTGCGTACAAGCACCCGATGAGGGAAGAGATTTAGCTCGTGAAGGTAATGAAATTATTCGAGAGGCTACCAAGTGGCGTCCTGAATTAGCTGCTGCTTTTGAAGTCAGTCTGG